GGCTGAGCGCGTGGAGTCACAACCGTAGAGAGCGCGCGGCGCGGTGCCGCTAGACCCGGTCGCGGGGACCGACTCTTGTTGCGTCGGCTCTCGTTCGCGCCGGCTTTCCAGGAGGGTATATCCTCTTCACACCAGACCCGCGCACTCGGCACACACTTACTCACAGCACACTTACACATCGTGCGGCGCTCGCCGCGTTCGTGCGAAATGAACGGGTCCGGTCGGACCGGTTCCGTTGAGAACGGGTCTCCTCTGCTTCGTCCTCCAGTTGTAGAGCGACGCCGTGCTGGTTTTGCTGCGAACGGGTCCGGAATGAACGGGTCCGGCGTGACCGGTTCTTTGATGAACGGGTCTTTTACCAGGGGCCGATGCGCGCGCGCGCGCGGAGAGACGCTCAAACGGGAGTCGAACAACGGACATGCGGGCGCAGGACATGGTTTCCTTGAGTCCACACCAATAAAAGTAGAGTTCGACGGATATAGGCTGGGAACGCCGCGAGAGGAGCGCCGCCGCTCACAAATCAAACGGCGAGTCGATTCTCAGGAATCGACTCAAGAACCAGATGGAGATTAATCATTACTCTTTGCCCATTTTGGGGGTGTATGAAAAACAAGAACTAACCTTATATTTATTCTCTTTTAACAACTCCTGCTGTTTTTTGTTAAGAGTATTATTAAAATACATTATTGAATCGAATTGTGGAGTCGTTTAACAATGAGCTTCGCAACTGATTCACGAGAACGTCGAATGCGGAGCAGTTTAGAAGCTAAAGAACCTGTTTACGAAGCAAGGACCGACGCGGGCTGAACACGTGGTCCTTTGAAGTAAGCTCTGGTTCTGGAATCGATTCGCTGGCCGACTCCTCAGGTCGTGGCCTTGGCTGGCCGGCAGAGCTGCCGTTTTCGTTCAGTGCACCGCTGCTCGTTGCCGCGAGTCGGAATGAGATTCGGTTCCTCGGACGATCTCGGAATTGAGAATTCCTTCTTTGAATCGAAATGAATGGAATGAGGACCTCTGCCTTGCTTCTAAACGTCTCTAGAGTAAAAATCGACTCCTGCCGGTCATGATAATACACTATTGGCAGGAATGGAGGCACCTATTATTTTATAATACTGATTATCTTCATCGCTAATAGTAATTTACAACTTTAGCTCCAATCATGTTTTGAAAGTAACTCCCCTTTTGACAAGCAAAATTTCCACAAAACATCACATCAAGATAATATGTTTCGCAAAGATGTACATTTTCATCGAAGTAAACTCTTAGTCCATTTTAGACAACTTTCATTTAAGTACAAATTTGTGACAATAATTTAAAAAACATGTTTGTTGATTAAAAGTTTCGTCTCGACAATAATATTCAGTCTGAATGGCAGTTATTTGATACCAAATAACCACACAATACTATAAAGATATAATTCGCTTCCTTTTTTCTCTCACAAAGATTTTCAAATGAATATTTTAATGTTTAATTCCCGCAGAATAGTGGATGTTTAAACACTACCCCTCACATATTTCTTCTTTTTCGCGAAATGATTAAAAAGCAATTCTTCAGGTTCATCAAAAATATCGTCAGAGCTGACTTTCTTCTCTACACGTAATAACCGTATTTCCCTGGATTTTGTTGTACCAAGACAATATAACATGATATTCTCATAACTAATATTTGAATTTCACTGTAAAGGCTAATAATGTTTTTAGTCGTTTGCTTCTTAGAAAATTTTTCAAAATCGATATTCAGAATGAAATGTATTATGTAACATTGCATGATCACACTTTTAGGCATTATTTAAACGCATACTAACTTTTAAATATTGTAGTTTAAGGAAAAAAGAGTGGTTTTTTACGTTATCATTTAATTACATACTTTTAGATTCAGGATAGAATTTTACGATTGTCTGAGCTGTTTCGTTGGATTTCCCTCTTCATTAAATTAATTGGTAATAAACAATAATCTAATAGTATGTGCTAGAACGAACCTCTTGATTCAGAGATACATCGTTTCGATTTCGGGAAGAAATGTATAGATTACTTGAGTTTTCTTTCGTATTGCTAAGAAATCTGACCATCCTCGAAATCGTAAGAGAGCTCCCTGATCATCTTATTTTCATAAAACTTTATAAACGATCATTTGATATTGTAATTCTCAGTCATCCGGTCCCGAAGTCGAAAACGATTATTCCGCCCAGTCATCGAACATAGAATATTCGGATTTAAGGAATAATCTATGTATCGCCTCTCTTACATATGGCAGCAACCTTCGCTGCAGTTCCTTCTTGAATAAAAAAAAAAACATCGTCGGAATTTCATAAATACATATGAACAATTATCTGATCAGAGAGTTAAGAACGATTTTACTTTTAAAATACCTAATTATTTCTCCTCAAATACCGAATCCTTATTTTTAAGAAACTAACATTAATCGAGTTTTTGTTTGTGCCTTTGCAACTTGAATAACAAAGAACGTCGTAAGCGCGACTCCTCATGTGATTTTTGACAAAACCTCAAGAATGATTATTCGATCTCGGAGTCATGAACGATTTATTCACTTGATCATAACCTACGGATACAAAATATTCGGATTCAAGAAAGATTATCCTCCCGTAACCCTTTAACCTGAATAATAGAAGAACGTAGCGAGCGGGAATTTTCATTTGATTTTTATAAATCCTGATAAACGATTAAATGATTTTGGCACCGAGAACAATTCTTTCTCCTTAACATCAAACATTGAATCTTTGGATTCAAGAAATATTTTTCTTTTGTACTGCTGTAATCTTAATAAAAGCAGGTAGCAAACGAGAGTCAGAAGTTCATTTTGATAAAACCTCACGAACAATTATGTGCTTTCGGAAACGAGAACGATTTTTCCACATCATCATTAAATACCGGTGTTCGGATTTAAGAAAGATTTGCCTTTCGTACCGCTCTAACCTGTATAATAATAGAACGAAGTAAGATATAGTCCTCATTTGATTTTCGCAACAGCCTGATGAATGACTGACCATTCTATAATGGAATCCAGAGCGATTCTTTCCCCTTAACATCAAATACCGAATATTCGGATCCAAGAAAGATTTTTCTCTCGTGCCGATTTAATCTGAATAACATAGCAAGCATGAGTCCTCATTTGATTTCGATAAAACGACAAGAACTATTATCGAATATTGGAATTGAGAACGATTCTTTCTCCTCAACAACAAACACCGAATTTACGTTTCAGGGAAGATTTTCCTGTCGTAGCGCGTCAACCTGAATAGAATAGCATGTAGCAAGCGAGAGTCCTCATATGATTTTGGCAACAACCCCATGAACGACTGACCATCCAATCTCGAGGGTCGAGAACGAATCTTTTACGTCAACAAGAAATGTCCGTATCGAGGGAAGATTTTCGTTCCTTCCGTAGCGCTTGCCCGTGAAGACAGCAGCGCGTAGCAAGCGAGAGGCCTCATTCGCGACCGAGTCGGGCGCGCGGGGGCGTGCGGGGGCGTGCGGGGCGTGCGAGCGCGTCGCTCATCGCCAGCGTTGCGAGCGCGCGCTCGCGTGTGCGCGGATCGGCCGCGAGGGCGGCGGCGCGCGCGGCGGGGCGGCGGGGGCGGCGCGGGGCAGGCCTGCGCGGCAGCCGTCGCGCGGGCCGGAGGGGCCGGCGGGGCCGGGTGCGGCGAGCCGGGGCGCCGAGCCCCGCCGGCGCCGCCCCCGCCGGCCGCTACAGCCCGCCAGTCGAACGAGTCCCACTCGAGAGAAGCGCGAGTCCGGCGCCTGCAGGCGGCGCTGGCAGGCCTCCAGTAGGCGTCCGTGCAGCGGTACATTCCCTGAGTTGGCTGGAACATTCAGCGTCTCCAGGATGCGCCTCGTTCTTTGATGGCCTTGCTGGGCAGCACCACCTGCGGATTAAAACACATAAAACAAAACAAAACAAATAAATAAATAAATAAAATAAATAAAATAAATAAATAAATAAATAAATAATAAATAAATAAATAAATAAATAATAAAAATAAATAAATAAATAAAATAAATAAATAAAATAAATAAATAAATATAAATAAATAATAAATAAATAAATAAAATAAATAATAAATAAATAAATAAATAAATAAATAAATAAATAAATACTATATAAATAAATAAATTAAATAAATAAATAAATAAATAAAATAAATAAATAAATAAATAAATAAATAAATAAATAAATAAATAAATAAATAAATAAATAAATACAGAGAAAGAAACAAAGAACGGGGGAAAGAAATAGGAAGAAATAACGAATAAAAGAAAGAGAGAGAGAGGAGAAAAAGAAAGAAAGAATGAAAGAGAGTTAGAAAGAGAAATAGAAAGAAAGAAACAAAGAGAACGGAAGGAAGAATTACCCATTATGATAAATATAATATAAATGTACTCCCACATTACGGGTTGGAAAGTAAGAATTTTAACGTCGTGAAATAAAATAAATTAACGATATCTCATTATTTGTTAAAAGTTAGTTAAAAAAACAACCAGTACAATCCTGTGGTTCGGGCATACAGAACACTGTCACGTTTACAAAATTTTATAAGAGAGTACTTTGGATTTGGAAGCAGAGTTGGTTGTATTTAGAAGAACTGTAAAAATTCTTGAAGTAGGACTTGATGTTGTATATCTCTAGGTAGAGCTCAAGAAACTCATCGACCAAAAATGGACATAGTAGGGAGTTTTAGCGCCAGGAGTCAGGAGATATCCTTAAACTATATTGATCACGTGACTAACACCTTTATACGGTCGTAATGAACAACTTTCAGAATAGCTTTAGCAATTGCAACATTGCGTTATGCATTATAACAAAGGAAGCATTTCAAGCGTTGAACAGAGAAATTGCATAATATATGAAAGAGTGTGGGCTAGTGGTGAGATTTGGATTCTGACGACATAGTGAGACTTTTAAAACACGGTACGAGTCAACAGAACAACAAATATACATTGTGCATGGAGTTTTAGATTTTGTGGCCCTCCGTGATAAGTATGCAGTCTGGAATTTTGAATCTTCTTTTCTTGAAAATATAGAAAATACCTCAAAACAGCGTTCGTTAAGAGCGTAATACATAACCTATCGCGAAGACATGATTTGAACTCCTTTTTCGAGAATTTTTTTCCTGTCACCTTTCCAACATATCCCGTTAATTCTTGCCAACGTTGTGGAGTTGGTAAGGAATAATTGTAACTTCCTCACATACGAGAATCGGTTTACCAGGCTTGGAAAAATTCAACTTTTCCTGTTTTTAGGCGGCCATTTAGCCGCTTGTAAGGTGACCGTAGAGGCTCTTACAGGCGTGCACTATTTATGAAGGTTTAAGGTCGTAACTTAGACCTAACGTAAGACGTTATGACTTCAAGGTCCTTCACGTGACTGTTAGTGTATAACGCCGCTACCTTACGCGTGGCGCTAAAACTCCCTAGTGTGTTGCACGTCCGACGCACAGAAATAGAGCAGGAGTGGAACAGAGGAACGGCTGACCTTGATGAGCTCCTGCGGGGAGATGCGGTACAGCTTGAGGTCCCGCGCCAGCCGCTCCATGATGCAGCGGAACTCGAGGCGCGCGTCCACTTTGGAGGACGTCTTGGTGCGGATGCGGTGGCGCGCCCATCCCAGCATCGCCTCGAACTTGCGCACCTGCGCACACGCCCGACTCATCCTTTCGCTCACCGCCTCGGACATCGCTACTTGCGCTCACTCACTCATCGCCTCGGACTTAAGTACACGCCCAGCTCAACCTCGCGCTCACCGCCCCGGACATCGCTACTTGCGCTCACTCACTCATCGCCTCGGACTTGCGCACACGCCCACTCAACCTCTCGCTCACCGCCTCGGACATCGCTACTTGCGCTCACTCACTCATCGCCTCGAACTTGCATACCTGCACATGCCGCCCCCCCCGCTCACTCAACCACTCTCTCTTCCTGTTACTCCTTCCACTCAAACTTTCCACTTGCGCACTCACTCATCACCTTGAACTTACCACATGACATCCATGATGTCGCAAACATTAGTTGCCCAAATTATGTTTGCGACTGCACATACACGGCCAGTGCTTTTATAATATTGACAAACTTTCGTAAATCCATACCCAATTTTTACTGTCTTTTCATAAGACCTGGACCCAATTTTTTTTGAAAGAGATCCCTAACTAATGTCGAAACGTCGAAGAAATAAATTAATGGTTGAAGCATATTTGAGCGGCAGTTCTAATAAGGTTAGAAAACTATTACAATTAAGAATTGAAATTTTAGCATGCTGTGCGTGCTCTAAAAATGACCGGTTTTGTTGTGACTGATTAAATCCCCCTTTTCTGTGTAGCTGTTATTGTTATTTGAATGGGTGAAATCACGAATAAACAAACTAATGGCGATCGTCTTATTTCCCGGGGTGAAAGATATCTCGGTTCTACGGTTTAACTCGTTAATCAGCGCGCTCGCTTTCCATGTCTCGACCCCGGGTTTGTTTCCCGGTCTGGCAAGATTGTAGTAAGCGTCTTCCCTGCAATGCCCCAGTATATGTTAGTGACTCAAGATGAGAAAACGCAGTTTCTCAGGTTGCGAATACACAGAGTAGGGATGTCTCTGTGCTAACCACATGTACCACTTAACCCACGGCCGCGGGGGGGGGGGGCGCTGCTGGGCCTAGAGTCGGAAAGCTGCGTGGCGGCGGGAGAGTACCTCTGGGACCGTTGGCTAGGCTACCCGGGACGTGCCTAGTCAATGTCATGGAGCCTCCATGACATTGACGCGGCTCGTCCCGGATAGCCTAGCCAACATAAACTCCGGCCGCGGAAGCCAACGCAACCATACCTCTGGGACCTCCAGCTGGCGGCACATGACCATCTGCACCATGGACTCGGACAGCTGCAGGAAGTCCTGCGCGGCGAACAGCTGGTGCGCGCGCGTCTCCACGAACGCCAGGATCATGTTGACGAGCTCCGACGCCGACGTGTAGCGCCAGTAGTAGTTCTCCAGCGAGCACAGCATGCAGCACACCTGCGCACGCCCGCCGCCCCACCACACCCACTTTAGCAGCTTTACCCACTCAATTCAATTCGATTTAATTCGATTCAGTTCGATTTAATTCGATTCGATTCAATTCAATTTAATTCGATTCGATTTAATTCGATTCGATTTAATTCGATTCGATTTAATTTGATTCGATTTAATTCGATTCGATTTAATTCGATTCGATTTAATTCGATTCGATTTAATTCGATTCGATTTAATTTAATTCGATTCGATTTAATTCGATTCGATTTAATTTAATTCGATTTAATTCGATTCGATTTAATTCAATTCAATTTAATTCGGTCGGTTACTAGGTCTATATGACGAGACTCGGGACAACAGACCGGAGATACTGGGTTCGAGTCCCGACGGTGGTAGGATTTTCGACTCTAGTTTCTCAGCAAGGTAGAATTCAGTCGCTGTCTGAAGGGGAATTCTAGCGGTCGGCTGCTCTAAGCGGCAGTTTTTCGATTGTGGTTTCTCCCATCAACACCCGGCGAATGCCGGAGCAGAACCCGTTACTGAGACACTCTTACGATAACATGCACTACACTACACTTGCCGGGAGCCCGGTCGTGAGCTTAGAGCTTGTCTCGGCTGGGGCGGTGCCCCGCTGATGGTACATACCTGGTTGGCAGATACTGGGTGGCTAGCCGACTATATGTGGCAGTAGGTCGGCGCCAGAACCTTCCAGCAGGGGAAGACCACTGCCACATAGCGAGGTAAAACATGCACTAAACTTACGGGAATAATGACCGTAGCTGTAGACGCGCTCGGAATCACTAACAATCAACCAACCAACCAACCATTCAATCAATCGGTCGAGGAAGCCCGCTGTTCTGCCTGGCCACGCCCACTTCGCTACGCTGCTTTCGTCATCTAGCAGAGAAGGGAGAAATCACCCCGATGACGAAACAGGCGATATTCAATTCAGCTCAGAGGCTTCATTTAGGCCTGCGGATCGTTTATATGCAGTAAATCTACAACATGGTACATCCAGCTTTACTTTCCCTCCGAAGGAGACGAATGAAGGATTTCCTCCCCTTAAAATCCCATGGCTGTGGCCCATCCGCTGTGAACTCGCAAACGTGAGTACAACAGCCAGAAAAGCTGTTATGCCATAGAAGCTGTTAAATTTCAAAATTGGACCCGTAATTGCAAAAAGTTGGTCTCTCAAAATATAATACCATTTTTTCAAAATCTAAAGTCACATTAGTTAACAAGTACATTAAATTAACATACAAATTCCACAACCTCCATGCGATAACTGGCAGATACCCATTTTTACAACGCGTATCTCAAAATTTGATCGTTATGTGATAATAAAGTCACCCATGTTACTCCTCTATCGAATTCCAACGAAACGTTAATTAACTAAAACATTAACACAAAAATTAACCAGTAATTTGCTGTAGTGACACGAAATTGGTCAAATTTTTATTACCTTGCAATGAAAAATTGGCAACGTTTTTTCTCTCTCATGAAACATCGCAATTTTTGAGATACACGTTGTTAAAATTAATGCATAGTAGTTAGTGTTTCCGTGCGCTTTAATTACTGACTGTGTCAGTAAGAATGGTGCATTTTATAACCAGGGAGACGATCCTCGCCCTAGGACGTGAGATCCAGCACCTACCACTACATCGGCTTACGGCAATTTCCCCCTCAGCTGTGTCCCAAAGAAGGCACCGCCCCAGCCGAGGCAAGCTGAGATTAGGTTTCCAACTGCTCTTCCAACGTGTGTACTTGTGTAGAGGAAGAAAATAAGAGAGTGTATATATATACACTCTCTTATTTTCTTCCTATATATTTCCTTCAATATATATATATATATATATATATATATATATATATATATATGTGTGTGTGTGTGTGTGTGTGTGTGTGTGTGTGCGCGCGCGCGTGCGTGCGTGTGGTATATGTGAGTGAACGAGAGAGAAGTCAAGGATGAGAAAGTGAAAATCGCATGCAAACTGAGGCAGACTTTTAAGATACCATAGCGAAATTCACGAGGTATTGATGGAAAAAACATCGGAAAGTGTTAATCTGTGCAGCTGGCCTGTTGATTTCTCTTCCAGAGGTGGATTCCTCCTTCCTCACTCCTTGTGAATGAGCCTTCAGCGATCGTCCCCTCAACTCAACACCCATGCGCACAACTCAATTTGTACGACCAAAGTTGCCCGTATATTTTTTCTGTGGTGTTGCCAATCTTACATCACGGTTAAAAACGAAATTTTACAAACTAATATTTTTTCTACGTCCCGGCCGATTTTTATTGACTAAATACTGATTTCGGGTGCATCAATCGCTAAGATAATTAGTCCCGTAAGTTTAGTGCATGCTTTTCTCTCGAGAGGTGGCGGTTATCTTCCCCCGCTAGACGGTGACACCCGACACCGACCTACCTATGTCGGCTAACATCATTTTCCCTAACCAGGTATCTCCCACCAGTGGGGCACTGTCGCAGCCACCCCAAGTCTCCCGACACGTTTGGTAGTGTAGTGCATGTAAGTAAGGGGTAAAGGTAGGCTCAAGGAAGAGGAAGAATCCGTGGCCTGTTTGTTATGGTACTGCTCAGGCATTCGCCTGGTGTTGATCGGGAAAACCACGGCAAACTACAGATCAGAGCATCTGTCTGCTAGAATTCTCCTGGAAAAACTGTGGCTGAATTCAACCTAGCCATGTAGCATGTCGAAAATTGTGCCACCATCGAGAGTGTAACCCTAGGACCTCTGGGATAGAGGCACTGCAGTGACATCAGTCGATTCCCTGAGTCATCTCTCCCGGTCCAAGTCCCCTAGTTGCCGTGGGTGTCGGGCGAGTAGCAGAGCTGATTGCGATAGACGTAAATGTACAGACGATACGAGGTCGCGATGTGACCCCCTTCGCTCAACCATATATTTTGGCCCTCCGCAATATTTTGGGTTATTGTCGTTGCTCTTGTTGGAATAATTTTGTTGGAAACAGCCTGCTTCAATATGGTCCAATTTTTTTATATCTATTACATTATTCATACAAATTATAGAAGAAATAATGAAAATATTACTTGGTTTAGTGTTTCTACTGCCTAAGTCGGTTTATATTACTTCATGTTGCCCTGCTAAATATTATAAATGCATCAACTTTAACTTTTTGAAACGATGTTTCTTTCACGCTTTTCGTTTTTAAGAAAGTCATAATTTTGTTATAAACTAAATTATATGTATATGTGCGTGTATATGCATGTGTTTGAATACATATGTGTGTGTGTATATGATCTCGTACAATCTGTGATCTATATTTCTGATTCAAATTATACAATTGTTACTATACATATGTGTATTATTGTATAACTTGTTACACCGCTGTAAAATATGTGAGCAACTGCTTGCTGTTGCCACTAATAATATACAAATAAAATAAATAAACAAAGTACGGGACTAATGAACATATAACAATTTAAATGGGATGCCACCAATGAAGTGGCTCAGGGCATCAACTGATGTCACTGCAGTGCCTCTGACCGGGAGGGACTAGGGTTTGAGTCTCGACAGTGGCAGGATTTAGCTAGCTAGGTCAAATTCGCTCGCTGTCTGGGGAAGAATTGCCGGTTGCTCCGATCCGTAGTTTTCCGACGTTTCTCACTTCAACACTAGGCGAATACCGCAGCAGTACCGTAACAAACGGGCCACGAGCGCGATCATTCCTTCTTCTTCCTATTATCTCTCCTTAATTACACACACTTGTTCTTACAAGAACCACTCTCCCCCACATGTCAGGAGACCATTTAAAGCTCGCCTCGGATTCGACAATGTCTCTCATTCGGGGAAATACCTAGTGAGGGAAATCTCGCAATTCGATGTGTAGGTCGGCAGCTCGGGCAGGTCGTAGTGCCTGCAGCTGTAAGCGCGAGCGCGGGAGCTCACCACTTCGATGCGCAGGAACTGCTTGGCGTGGTGGAAGCAGGCCTGCAGCAGCTCGGGCAGGTCATAGTGCTCGGCGGCGCAGATGAGGCCCGGGATGTTGGCGCATGTGAGCGCGCACGACCCCGTGTGCAGGTAGTCCAGCAGCACGCGGAACGTGTCCGGGTCGAACTCGATGATGGAGAACTGCAAGCACACACACACTCGTCGGTAACCAAACAATCACCTCCGACTGCAACCAAGCACATAGCAACTCTCAACAGCAACTAAGCACACATACACTCTCGACAGCAACTAAGCACACAGACACTCTCGACAGCAACTAAGCACACAGACACTCTCAACAGCTACCAAGCACACAGGCACTCTCAACAGCAACTAAGCACATATCCACTCTCAACAGCAACTAAGCACACAGACACTCTCAACAGCAACTAAGCACACAGCCACACTCGATGGCAAATAAGCACACAGCCACACTTGATGGCAACTAAGCAAACAGCCACTCTCTCCAGCAATTAAGTACTCAACCGTTCTCGCCGACATATAAGAATATTCGTGGAGTTTACGTGGAAGGAGGGGCGTGAAAATTGCAGCGCCTTACAAGATCAGGATCTTGAGTTAACTTTAACAAATTTAGAACATCATATTTGATGAGTTTGGCCACAGATTTTTTGAGAAGCAGTAGTTTAAAAAACGTATTGAAATAACTCTGAACTACATAATTTTAAACTTAAAATGTTTTGTTTTTTATTACGCAAAATTTGTTCTGTGACGTTTCAAGAGCATGATTTTCCCCCATCTTCAGGCATTCAGAAAATCTGAAGACAATTTTTTAAATGTTTTTTGTTTTCATATGTTTTTTTTGGGTGGGGGTTCTGACTTCACGTCAAACTAGCAGCTCTACAATTAAATGTGGTATATTTTGATGTTCTACTTCGGTTTTTGTATTAGTAGGAGTGCAGTTTATGCGGACATGTTTGTACTGTTATTGGACTAAATAAATTAAATTACATTAGCTGCACCATTTTAAGTAGCTGTCTACCTCAAAATAATGAATCTTCATGAAATTTTCTTTTTCAATTTTTGTAGATTTGAATGCTGTTGTATTCTCTTTTAAATGCTTTAAACAATTCCTTTCTACGTTTCTTAGTTTTTGAGCAAATATTAATAGTTATTGATCAATATATAATACAAAAAGAATTATAAAAATACATTTACTTGTTGTGGAGATGGGATGTCTGAAGTAAACACAATTAATTATAAACAAATCACAAAATTAAAAGATCTCTAGAGGATCAAATTAGAGACACAAATACTCACATAGAAATCAAATGTACAATCGAAAACAAAAATAGAAAGAATGTACTTGATTTATTTCTCTGGTAGACACCTTATAAAAGACACCTTTCCTTTGAAGCTTCGTTTTCTTCCAACTAGGAATTTTGGACCTACATTACTGGCGCAGTATTAGTGAATCTTACAGTTTGATGCGTTGTTGCCAAACATTACTGTGCCCGTGGCATCACCTTCATGACAGATAAAAAATTTCACAAGATTACCTCTAACGAGAGCCTATGAGAAGTCTTGATATCAAATTCAACCTTCGCCACAGCCGAACATTACAGCCTCCGCGAATATCACAGTCTTTGCAAGCTGATTGCTTCCGAGCAGGTCACATGACATGCCACAGCTCGTGGCGAGAGAACTAAGTCACTTATACGCTGCCGGTACCGTATACTGCGATTCATTTATAGTTGCCCCTGACGTGTCACCAGCTGTTGCAATGCCATCCAATCGGAAGCTTACCCGTCATTACTGTCGGCACTCTTGTGACCTTCCGATTGGATGACACCGTGACCGCTGATTTACGTCAGAGGCAGCTCTGCATAAATCCAAGTTGATGTAGCGAGGAGGCAGGGCGGTGGAGAAAGGAAGGGCGGTGTCTGCGCTCACCTCCGACTGCGCGAGCTTCGTGCGGTCCACCTTCTGCGCGTCGGCGCAGACAGAGAGGCGCGGCACGGCCAGCTGCGGCGCGCCCTCCCCGGAGCCCTTGCCGCCCTTGCCGTCGCCCGCCTTCGACTCCTTGTCTGCAACACACCCGCGCGCGTGCACTCCCCCTCCACTCGACAATATTTCTCTTTCATAGATCTATAATATAACGCTTTTACTTGTTAGAGAATGTTTAAATCTTGTGTTACTTTTCAAATCTTGTGTTACTGGCGTTACTACTACGATTTACTTCTAAATAGTAGGTTTAAATTTTATATTAATTCCCTACAAGTCAAACTTTCAGTTTGTTTATCTATCCAAATGGCTACATAAGAATATTAACAATTATCACCGCCTTTTCTAAATTTTCTAGTAATTACTTGTAAATAGTAGCTTTAAGTCTTTTGTGAAGTACTTACAAGTCAATTTTTTTGTGTTTATGTATCCTAAAAGCTACATATCAGTAAGAAAAATTATCTATCGTTTCTAAATGTTCTTTTAATAGTTGTAAATAGTAGTTTTAAGTATTATGTGACGTTCGTAAAAGTCAAATTTTCATTGTCTGTTTGTATATCTTATGGGCTACATCTCAATATTAACAATTATCACTACCTTTCCTCAATTTTCTTAAATACTAGTTTTAAGCCTTATGTTAAGTTCTTCAAAGTCAAATATTTGTCTGCTTATGTATCCTAAAGGGTACATTTCAATATTAATAACAATCTTTTCAAAATTTTCTGTTAGCATAAAGTGTTTTTAAACATCAGTTTAAAAAAAAATTATTAAGCAGTAGATTTGACTAGAATTTGGGCTCCCTCCCGAGTACCGGTCTTTCTTCCACGATTAGACCGAAGCTTTCGGCTGTGAATACTTTGAGTTACACAATAGACACATACTCCCTCCCCCTCCACACGCACCTCGTTATAAAATATCAGACAATAATACGCAGTTGAATGATTAGTGATTGGAGACCACTGAATGAGTAGTGGCCTGAATAAGCCTTGCGAAGCACCGCGCACTCACTGGAGCAGTCCTGCGAGGAGGCCCACTTCTTCTTGTCGTCGGCGGAGAGCGCGGCGTGCTGCTTGCGGATGGAGCGGCCCCAGCCGGCGGTGATGGTGCCAAGGCGCGAGAAGGCGCGCTTCACCATCGGCGACGACGGCACGCTCTTCGGCCTGCGCACACACCGCCACCCACACGCTCGCGCACGCCGGCACGCTCGCGCTCGCCAATAGACTCGCACTCACTAACACCCTGGCGCTCACTAATAGACTCGCACTCACCAATACGCTCGCGCTCGCCAGCACGCTCGCGCTCGCCGGCACGCTCGCGCCCGCCAGCACGCTCGCGCTCGCCAGCACGCTCGCGATCGCCAATAGACTCGCACTCACTAACAACCCTCGCGTTCACTAATAGACTCGCACTCACCAATACGCTCGCGCTCGCCAGCTCGTTCGCGCTCGCCAGCACGCTCGCGCTCGAAAGCACGCTCGCGATCGCCAGCACGCTCGCGCCCGCCAGCACGCTCGCGCTCGAAAGCACGCTCGCGCTCACTAACACGCTCGCGCTCACAAATAGGCTCGTGCTAATGAAAATGATGGCAATGGGTGGCATGCAACTGAATTACGAGCGAGACATTTCGGTCCGTGCCGCGCCGTGCCGTGCCTCGCGAATCTCTTAAAGTGGGTTCCCAGCTATAATCGCCTGGGCAGAAGGGGGGATGAACTGGAGCTCTAAATGTTCATCACATGCAGAAAGTAATAATTTGATTTTGCTCTTTTGGGTTTGAGTTCGACATTGTGAGTTCGTGTTCGCTGTTCGGTGTTCCAGTTCAACGTATTGTGATCGTGTTCGCTGTTTGAATTCAAACTTCTGTATTCATGTTCGCTGTCCGATACGTTTGCTGTTTTGTTTGAGAAATTGTTACTTTGTATTATTTTTGGAATCATTATGATTTATATCCTATATTTTTATTTATATAATTAGATCATATTATTCATATGGAAGCTTGAAGATTGCTCTTGTAATTGACTGTGTATAAAGAGAAGAATTTAGGGGTCGAGGGATATTTGTGTTTTTATATATGAGAATAATTAATCAGGAGGATAAGTTTAGTTATTTTAAATATTATTTATTGATAATTGAGTTCGAATGCATGGCTTAATAGTCCGAATGCAGTCCTTAATAGTCCTTCCATTGCTGGTGCCCGGGTTCGATCCCAGGCGGTTAAGAGTGGAATTTGTGGTGGGGAAAGAGGGTTCGAGGCAGAGTTTCCCAAGGTACTCCCATTTCCCCTGCCAATATCCATTCCCTTCTTTATTCCGTCATTAGCGAACACCCCGCTAAGGTTCTACGGATCACTACGGCGCCTAGTCGATAACCAAGACCTAGCTGGGAAGGTCTGCAGCTACCTCAGCGGGATATCGACAGGTAGGGTCCCGGCCTGGAGGACTAGAGAGAGGGTAAATGGTGAGGGAGGGGGGGAACGTCCCCTTCCAAAACCCTAGATACAGATTGCAGGGAGGAAATGTAATACCAGGCGGGGCGAGGGGAGCAGCTTAGCTAGCCCCTGAGCAAGAAAAACAGTCTTTGGTTATGGTTACGAAACATTTCTGTCGGTGCTGTTCCGTGCTGCTAGAAATAGGTTCCCTGCTTTCCGGGTGGTTCGTTCCGCTGCTGGGCGGTGTCGGACAGCGCCGGCCGTTGGAAACGGGTGTCGGGGTGCGTGAAGTGGGTTCCCTGCTTTCCGGGTGGTTCGTCCGTTGCTGGGCGGTGTCGGATAGCACCGTCCGTTGGAAACGGGTGTCGGGGTGCGTGAAGTGGGTTGGATGGCTGGGGAGGGCTCACCTGGGGCTCTCGATGTCGGGCACCTGCAGGAAGTTGGAGCTCTTGGGCTTCTGCGGCGAGTGCAGCGACGGCACGGCGCGCGCCAGCAGCTCCGCCACCGGCACCTGCGGCGACCCGAAGCCCGTCGAGATGCCGTACAGCATCTCCTGGAACACCCTGCACACACGCGCACACCCTCATGAGGATGGCCATTCAGTCGCCTTGTACAAACGCGACAAAATATCAGCCACGTGCATTTCATGCTCATGGACAGCGCTGGCGGGAAGAGACGCCGGGCTGAACAATGGCAAACCTAGGGAGCGGAAGGGAAGGGGTGCCATGTCGTGGGTGGCCACTTGTGAACCTCGCAGACAGGCTAGCTGTGGAAACGCATCGGCAGAAACAGCGAGAGGACGCAGTTCCGTCAGCTGGCCCAGAAGGTAATATAAACGGACCCCGGAACTAAACTCCTTCTTCTGATTCTTGGGCGCGTTGGTAGGAAGTCGTGTGGGTTGTGCGCGGCGCTGCATTGCATTGCATAGGCTACTGAGGCAGGGAACTGAAGCCGGAGTGCTACGTCGAGACGGGAGGTGCGACATACTCGCTTGTATGCTCAGGTAGGCAACTGGTGCATCACACCGAATAAGATATCTAATTATCAGGCCAGCGGTGGTGGTGACCAGGAACATTCCTTCTAGTAACGGGTCAATATTGTTTATTGTAATTATTGTACATAGAATTCAGGTGTTGGAGCATAATTCAAATAAATACTCAATAAATTACAAACCGTTTACGTCTGTGATTGATTGCCCCGGCAAAGACGCCACACCATCCTCCCACCTCTTCTCGACTAGTGTGTTATAAAACGATCATGTAATGATGGATATTAATACACGAGTCTGATTTTACGATAAAGCGAGTTTCGTAAACTTCACACGAGTGCATTAATGCCATTACATCGAGTTCCATACGGTACCTTTTCTACGGCTTACGGTAATGTTTATTAGTGTAACCTGTACATTGACTGATTCGTGGCAGTTGACGTGCAGGGTTGTGCCAAGGCCACCGAGCGCACAGCTCCCTAAACCTTATCCTGCCGCAGGTGGCTTTTGTTTACCGTTGTGGTTGACGAAAAGTAAAAAGTAAAATTACGATCCTATTTATGTTAAATATTAATCCACGAAAAATACCTGTAATAACAGAAATTAAAGCTGAGAAGTATAATGTAATATTAAATGCAATTTTAAGGTACACAATCGAACGAAACATTTACTAGAACGATACGCAATTATTAATTGTCAATACTTGGTTTGTAAACTTGTTTGTATAATTGATCAAGAACCTGTTTCATAATGAAATCTCTATCGTAACGGCTTGCAGCCATCAAATGACACAATTATTCAATGGGCGTAGTGAAAAGAATTTTAAAAAATGCACGTTGAATGGGTAAGGAAGTATAAATTCTGCAGTTTGCTTGTGCCTAGGTATTATCCTATTAGTATACGTAGGTGAATTATGAGTAAATAAAGCAATAAGATTTAGTGACTTTTTGAAGAAGGCAGAGGAAGGAAGGAAAATTGAAGGGAAGGCTGGAAGGGCGGGATGGAAGGGAGGTGTGGAAGGGAGGGCTGAAAGGGAGGTGAGGAAAGGAAGGGTGGAAGTGAGGGGAGTGGGAAGGGAGAGGAAGGGAGGGGAGTGGAAAGGAAGAGATAAAGGGAGAGGAGTGAAAGGATAAAATAGAAGAGAGTGGAGTGGACTTGAGGGTTGTGGAAAGGAGGGGAGTGGAATGAATGGATGTGGAATGGAAGGGAGTGGAAAAAGGAAAAGAGGGAAGAGTGTGGAAGAGAAGGGAGTAGAAAGGGAATGGAGTGGAAGGGAGATAGTGAAAGGGGAGGGGAGTAGAAAGGAAGAGACATAAAGGGAGAGGAGTGAAAAAGGGTGAAATGAAAGGGAGTGGAGTGGACATGAAGGTTGTAGAAAAGGGGAATAGAATGTAGGGGGTGGAATTGAGGGGGAAGGGAGGGGAGGGGGAAGGGAGGGGATGGAAGGGTGAGAGTGGGAGGGGATTGAAAGGGAGGGCAGTGGAGTGAAAGGGTGAAGGGAGGGAGCGGAAAGAAATTGAGTGGAAGGGAGGGGGTGAAATTGAGTGGGAAGGGAGGGGAGGGGAAGGGAGGGGAAGGGGAAGGGAGAGGAGTGGAAAGGGAGGGGAATGGAAGGGGGTGGAAAGGAACAGGGGAGTGGAGGGTGGAAAGGGAGGGGAGCGGAGGGAGGGGAGTGGAAAGGAGGGGAATGGAAGGGGGTGGAATAGGAACAGGGAGTGGAAGGGAAGGCAGTGGATGAAAGGGTGAAAAGGGAGGGGAGGGAGAAGGAATTGAGTGGACGGAGGTTGAAATTGAGGGGAAGGGACGGGTGTGGAGGGCGTGGAGTAGAAGGGAGGGGTTATGGAAGGGCTGGTTGCAATAGAGTGGGAAGGGAGTGGAGTGGAGGGAGGGGGTGGAAGGGCGGGGGGACGGGAGTGCAAGTGAGGGGGGCCGCACCTGGCGCGCACGCCGAGGATGGCGCGGACGCGCAGAAGCGCGCCTTGCTCTTGACTGGCGACGAGGAAGGCTGACGTCGAACAGCTGGTTTGCACACGGCGGGTCCTCGGAAGCGGCCGGCTTTGGTGAAGCAGCGCCCGAAGTCCGCCGCCACGATGTCGTAGTCCTCGAACTGGTCGCGCACGCTGTCCAGCAGCGGGGAGCTCGGCGCAAATGTGGCCGATTGGGCCGCCACGACACGCGCTATCACGCCACACCCACCGCATCACGATTTACGCAGGCCACACTGGGCCACTGGGGCCACTAGGGGCACACAGGAAGTTAGCAGACATATTACACAATTTAATTGCTTTTTTATTTGTTTTAATTTTGCTTTGGTGAAAAATATATTAGTTATATTTTTCAATAATAACATGATTCTTACATGTTTTCTGGGAGATATGTTGGCAGATACACAAACCTTTGCGTAGAAATATTTTTTTCAAGCCAACTTGAGTGCCTAAGATTGGCTACGGTATTCAATCATCTCGGAAGGATTTTTAATTAGAATAATTATGCCTTCAACTGACTTAAGCACTAATTTGCAAGTTTCTTTGTCTCTTTCCTGGACGCCTGCATACTTACAATTACGTTTTACGTCTTTACGTAATTTACGTATTTTACGTATTACGTATTACGTATTTACGTATTTACGTATTTACGTATTTACGTATTTACGTATTTACGTATTTCGTCTTTACGCCCCCCCCTTTTTTTTTTTTAAAAAAACCGGCTTCCCCCCTTTACGTCTTTACGTCTTTAGTCTTTAGTCCTTTACGTCTTACGTCTTTACGTCTTTACGTCTTTACGTCTTTCTACGGTCTTTAACCGTTTTTACGTCTTCTAGTCTTTACGTCTTTCGTCTTTTAGCGTCTTTACGTTCTTTTACGTCTTTACGTCTTTTACGCATTTACGCATTACGCAATTTACGCATTTAACGCATTAACGCATTTACGCATTTACGCAATTTACGCATTTACGCATTTACGCATTTACGCATCTTACGCATTTACTGCATTTTACGCATTTACGCATTTTACGCATTTACGCATTTACGCATTTACGCATTTAAGCTTTACCATTTACGCATTTAAGCATTTACGCATTTACGCATTCTACGCATTTACGCATTTTACGCAATTTACGCATTTACGCTTTACGCATTTACGCATTTACGCATTTACGCATTTACGCATTTACGCATTTACGCATTTACGCATTTACGCATTTTACGCCATTTACGTATTTACGTTTTACCTTTACGTTTTGCATTTTACGCTTTTACGTATTAGTATTACGTATTTACGTATTTACGTAAATTTACGTATTTACGTATTTCGTATTTACGTATTTACGTATTTACGTATTTACGTATTTACGTATTTACGTATTTACGTATTTACGTGTTTACGTGTTTACGTGTTTACGTGTTTACGTGTTTACGTGTTTACGTATTCGTATGTATTTATAATGTACTGGCCTGTAGGGCTTGGGGATCTGGCCGGTCTCCGCGTGGTTCTGCAGGTTGGCCACGATGTCCTCCAGCATCTGCGAGCGCGTCCGCTCCTGCATGCGCGCGAACTTGGGCGCGGAGTAGGAGGCGCGCTCCCCGTTCACCACCTGCGCATGCGCAAGGCGTCGGAGACAAGCGTCTAGCAACGCGGCTGCGCACTCAAGGCGCCTGCCTCGGAGGAAAAGCATCAAACTACGCCCGCGGTGCGCACAACAGCTAACGGAGTGCATTGCTGTGTCAAAGGAGAAACCTGTTGAGGTGCTCAGAGCATCAACTGGTGTCACTGCAGTGTCTCTGATCGGGAGGTCCTAGGGTTCGAATCTCGTAGATACTAGGATTTTCGACACTAGCTTGTCAGCTAGGTTGCATTCAGCCACTGTCTGGAGTACAATTCTAGTGGTCGGCTGCTCTGATCGGTTGTTATCCGTGGTTTCTTAGATCAATACCAGGCGATTACCGGAGTAGTTTTCTTATAATCGGGCCACGGACAGCGCGCGTTCTTTCCTTCCTCATTCATATCGTATCTTTGACATTTTACCTACCCTTGACTTCCGCTTACACACATTACCTCTGTTCTTGAGAGGTACCTAGATGGGGAAAACCGAAAAGCCGACTTGTAGACGTGGCTGGCGGATGTCCCCATCAAGCAAAGGAGAAACACTGCTACTTCCAGTGATAAAGCATGCACTAAACTTACGTTACCATTACAATTGAGACGCCCGGGAACGCGAAATAATAAATAAGTGAATCACTGTAACGAGAATTCAAATCAACTGTATATACGTGGAATAGGAATGTAAAATTATTCTCCCTAAGGATCAGTTCTGTGTTAAATATGTGGGGGAGTAAGAAAAGTCAAAGCCCGCTAATATCCACATCCTAATTTAATCCTCCCTTTACTCTCTCCTTCCTTGAACAAGAAACGCGTTTGTTTCATAGTGTACCACACACAGTAAAGACGTGGAACCCCTGGAGCATGTGAGAATGGCTTTTTGAATACTCAAACGTCTATATTTAAATACCAAAAAACAACTATTATGCAATAAAATTAATTATTGGAGGAAAAATAGTCATGCTAACCTGCTTATTGGCGAAAAAATGAAAAAAAATTGTTTTATTTCACACATTTTTAAAGTTGCTTCCAGAGTTGTATCTAGGAATCCAGACCCCTCATGGCAAGCATAGAAATTGAGCCCTGTCAGGTTACTTAAAATTAGGGTCCTTGTTATTTGTTTTAGGGGTTGTATTCTAAATAGCGTCCCTTTTGAGTTTGCCATACAGTACCGTACATGCTGTAAATACCCCGCTGGTTGCTTCTACACAGAAAAAATATGTTTTTTGTGTTTGCATGCTAAATATTTAAAAATTTTTTTTAGGGTTGATGCATATTTAAAAAATATAAATTGATTGATTTTTCTCGATAAATATAAAATGCCCTTTTTAAAACTATACAAAAATAAAAAAGTACTTCATGCATTTCCTCATACAAAAGAAAATGCTGCGAATTACAAAATGTAATTTGAATGTAAACAGAATTTTGACTGAGTCAGTAAGGAAACAGTAAGTCATAATGTACTACTAAGCCACATAAACTTTATGAGTGAAATATACTTTATATTTATGTTCCTAAAGGTTGTTTGTGGTTACATTGCCCACCATTTTTGAATCAAGCCAATATTCGGTGTTGCCTTCTTACCTTGGTGAGCAGCCATTCTCTGAACATGGGTCCCTTGTCGAAGACGCTCTGCTCCCACAGGTAGGGCTTATACGCACCGACTTCGTCCCTCGTCACCACAGACACCTGGAGAGAAGAAGGAAGTCAGCGGCCAGAGAAACCCTTCTTCTGAAAGTCGCATACGACGTCTTCTCGGTAATAGTTATTTGTGCAGCAAAAACGATATAAGGGTTCTAATGATCGAATGGCGACAAAATGCCCCAGGGCCTTTGGTTCGAATGGTTTTATGCCGTCCGAGATCACCAAAACCAGTTAACACCCCTGGAACATGCATAATTTTATTTTTTATCTAATTTTATGCTTCTGATTTACTCTTTTACTAGTAAAATGGACGTTGACTTGACTCGGTTTGTATTTTCATCTTTTCTTCCCATAATTCCCTCCATAAGAGAACATGTAGCATCATTCAACTGTTTTTATATTTCCCCTTTTTACAACGGTTCTCTTAATCTTAAATATAAGTTGTGTATTTTATTTAGAACTCCTTATCGAAGGCAATAACATATTATTAAAAAATAAGTATCTTTTCTTCGCACCCGGGCAAGATGTTTGATGAAATGGTGAACAACGTTTTTGATGTTTATTATTTACAGCGTCATGTGAGTGTAACGTTTCGCTCCTGTCTAAAGGTTAATATGGCTTGCGCAATGTAATATAATGTAATATATGTAATGCAATGTATTATATGTCATAGATGACGTAAGCAGTGGCAACGATGTTTTAAGTTGGCATTGTATTATTTTCTCAGATTGGAATTTTATTCAACAGTCAATATTCGGTAGCCAATGACGGCCGGAGCATGCTGCTTACGTCAGCTTCCTCCAGTTCAATTGGTAACGAAGAAATGCAGTTCTAACTTTCGTAACCCCTTTAGACAAATATAGAGTTACAAATATAGAGTAAGCAAATAAGAGGGCTTTTAACTTTTTATAAAATAGTTTACTAATTATTTCTAAACATTCCCAGAAGTTGAAAAATTTGAAATGTCAACTGGAGGAGGAAAAGGGATATTGAATTTAAAGACTCTAGTACAAGGATTTACTGAAGGAAAATTTCAACAAAATTCTTTTGGGTACTCCAGCAAAGTAGAAGTGATGAGCAATAAACATTTTAAAGGTTACTAGTAAGTTTGATTATTCTGGTCAACGTGATAGTTTGCCGTCTGGTGCCTAGACGTATAGGTGTTAATAGTGACCTATAGTGACTTATAGGTGTGAAATATAGTGAAAGTTACTGGTGGGAATAGGACTCAATGATCGTGAATATTTTATTCAGCTGGATATTTTTTCGGGTTTCGGTTTGAAATTCCATGTTTGGCTGTTCAATAAAAAGGTTGATTTGTCATGGTTTGTGTTTACTTCGCAGTTTTCTGTGTGTAATCCATTGCTCTGTGTTTGACATCGACATTTGGCGTTTGTTGACGAAAGTTTGGTGTTTTCGGTCTAGGTTTAGTTGGTACTGAGTTCGCAGTGTTGGTGTTTGAGTTCGATATTCAGAACGCGAGTTTCATGTTTGGTGCATCAGTTTGCATTGGCTTTAAGATTCGAGGCGTGAGTTTGAGCTTAATAATGTTTGCTCCATGGGGTCGATTTCCATAGGTTGAGTTTGTGTGTGGGGAAATAAGCTTGCTTTCCTGTGTTTACTAGTTGCATTCCAGTACCTTTCGAGTATCTAGGGAACACCAAACTGTGTGTTTGGAGTCGACGGTAGACCACATAATAAATTAGAATATAATCAAAGAACAATTAACAATTTTAAATATTAGAAACCAATCATACATACATTTAGCAGCATATTACAGCCATTTTGTGAAAAGTTTGTGTTAAAATAGTTTCAGTTTTAACCCTTAAGCGCGCGCGTCGTACCCCATAACACAAGTGAGCGTGTGACGCACAGACTACCCTGAGAAGATTTTCGATGTTCCTCCAACTATATTGTCATGTTTTTGAAATTTTTTCTACTTATTTTTATTTCTTTGTGTATTACATGCTATTTTATATTTTCTAACAAATTTGTACTGGGTAAGTGGATATGGAAGCTGTTGAGTTGATGGATGACAATGAGACAAAAAATAGAAACAACTAGTGAAGAGTTGGAAGTTCACTAGACTTTACATTTATTCCCAAAAAAACAGAAATTTTGTAAAATTTTCTTTTTTGAGCGTTTTTATCACACTTTGTATTGCCTTAGCCGATGCAAAACGTGTCTAAAGTATTTTCTTTCGACGTTGATGGACATAGTATATCATCCAAATTTCCAGTTTACCAGATCTCTGAATCACAAATTCCTTATTTTGATTCAAATATATTCAATGGCTCATTTTAAATTACAAACTTATCTTCTGAATCATATGTTAAGTCATTGCAACTCACTTCTTTCTATTTTTCGTATTCGAGCAAAATTTTGTAGCGTTTGAGTACGATGTTCTGTGTTCGTGTTTGCTATTTAATGTTTGAGTTGTTTATTCGGTGGTGTTTGGGTTCACTATTTGGTGAATGATTTCGATGGGTATGGGTTTGAGTTCGCTATTCTGTGTTCGTCGTTGTTCTTTAATGTTTGAGTTACACAATTTATGTTTGCGGCTGACGTTCTGTGTTCGTGCTCGCTGATTGAGTTTGTTGTTTGGTGTTTGTGTGCGCTGTTCTGAGTTTGAGTACGCTGTTTGGGGTTCGGGTTCGACGTTCTGTGTTCCAATTTGCTGTTTTGTTTTCGTGTTGACTTGTTGGCGTTTGAGCATGCTGCCTCACCTCGCATCTTGCAGCGCGGTGCTTGAAGCGCGGCGATGTGCGCACGAGATGTTCTGTGATTGAGTACGCTGTTCGGTGTTTGTATTCGACGCTCCGTGTTTAAGTTCGACGTTCTGTGTTCGGGTTCTGTGTTTAAGTTCGCTGTTCGGTGTTCGTGTTTGCTGTTCGGTGTTCGTGTTCGGAGTTCCAATTCGACATTCTGTCTTCGTGCTCGCTGTTCGGTGTTTGATTTTGCTCTTGTGTTTGAGTTTGACCTTCTGTGTGCGTGTTCGCTGTGCGGTGTTCATGTTTGCTGCTCAGTGTTCGTGTTCGTGTTCGGTGTTCGTGATTGCTGTTCGGTGTTCGTGTTTGCAGTTCGATATTTGAATTCGCTGTTCGGTGTTCGAGTTTGCTGTTCTGTGTTTGAGTTCGATGTTCGGTGTTCCAATTCGACGTTCTGTGTGCGTGCTCGCTGTGCGGTTTTTGAGCTCGCTGTGCGTGTGCGCGCGCTGCCTCACCTCGTATCTGGTGGGGCGGCGCTTGATGCGCGGCGACGTGCGCACGAGGATGAAGGTGTGCAGGAAGTGCGACTTGATGCACGCGGGCGAGAAGCTCGTGTTGTCCGCCTCCAGGAACACCACGCACACGATGTCGTTGCCGATGTGCCGCTTCCGCTGGAGCTGCACACACACACACACACACATGCACACACTGCATCGGCCTCTACTCTCATTTCAACACCAAAACTCATTCTTTATGATTAGAAGTGGATATGGATGACCTAAAATATCGCCAAAAATAATCAATAAAATACACTTAAAATGTTTTAAAATGCCCTAAGAACAAAGAAAAATTACGTAAAAATGTGATCAAAAGCAATTTGAATGAACAACTCGAGGTGTTGGATATGCTGCTGATGTAATCTATGCTTCTTCCTTTCGTTCAAGAGCTCTCGACTTGCAATCTTTTGGTTTGGTTTGGACTGTTTTTTACCAGCGCAAAATCGGCTGAACCGACAAAGGCGTTGATAGGTAATACAGAAACCTTAGATTACACGGTACTCACAAAGACTGACTTCACAGTCTCTGAGCTAAGAAATCGAATTTTTTCCGGAATTTGGTGATTAATTTGTTGCACTTTAAACATTATTTGAAGAAAGTACCATTAAAATAATTCGAAAGCCAATTAAATCAGAAAAAATCTTTACAAACGACAGTAAAAGGAAAAAAAAACTGCTTATTAGTCGAAATAGACGAAAAATTTAAAAAAGTATAAAAATGGTTCATTTCCTTTTGTCATACATGCAATTAATATCTGTACTAAAAAGCATTGTTCTAAAATCAAAAGAAAAAATGACTTTTCATTAAAATTCGTCCCGTATTTATGAGAGTGGGTTGAATCTTAGGGTCAATGCAGATGTGAAGTTTCTAGATGGCGGGGAAACGGCGTCAGCCAATGGTATCTTTAGATAAAGTTACGCTGTATTTTTTAAGTAAGTACCTGCTGGTACATGAACCGCCAAATTAATTCAAATTTGGCGCCATGCTTCGAACAGTTCAGTTTCGCTGCTCTTTGAAGGCGTTTTAGAGAAAAATATCATACATTTCAAACTTCCGGTTTCGAGATCTAATCTTGCTCAAAGAACCGCGCGAATTGCTTCCCAATTGCCCAAATACTCATTTTTTGTTCAACGTTCTTTGAAATCGGTTTTCAACTGCTTTCTGCTAGTTTGAAGAGTCACCAAAAGGTCCTACCACCTCCTGGGCGGCCGCGACGAAAAATTTACCCTTTGTCAGACTTCCCGGAATTCAAATTTTCTACATCATACGCGACGAGCTCGTATTCTTTGAAAATCAGAGGAGCCGCGATCGTGTTCAGAAGCTAAGTGAAACGTGTATTGAACGCATGAAAAGTTTGATTCGGTTTGCTGCCAAGCAATTCCCAGCAAATTTCTGCAGTCTCCGTGACCTAAAACGCCAAAACACCGCGTGCATAAGCTCCAAGCGTGAAATTCGTAAGAAAAACGTTAATTTTCGTCTAGACGGAGGTAACCTTGACAATCTCCTCAATACTCATTGATTCTTTCGGCAAAGTTATAATCTTTGTGAATTACGTGTCGTTTATTTTCCAAAACTCTTTCATCTGATGAGAACATACAAGGAGATGTGCTAGCAGTTTCTGCCAATGCCCTCCCAATTTATCTGAGCGATATTTCGCAGCCTCAACAGAGTGTATTCAAAGGCGCGCGCGCTCTTACCTTCTGCGGGTCGTGCTTCTCGTAGGGCAGGTGCGTGGAGACGTGGAACATGATCTCGATGTTGCGCCAGTGCGTGTACACGGAGTGAAGCCCCGTCAGGTCGTGCACGGTGTCCAGCCCGCCCTTGTACTTGTCGAAACCTGCGCACATACACACAGGCGCTGCTCGAAGACAGGATTGCCTTTGCGAATCGCACTCTATAGGATATTGGAACCAACTACCGGAAAAAGCACCGTACTAGCATTTATTTAACCGTGCACTTGAAGTAAATACGCTGTTCACGGTTTTGTCCAATCGGGAGTTTGAAGTAGTGATGTCGCTGACAGACATAAATTTCCGATTGAATGAAACCGCAAGATCTGATTTACGTCAAGTGCCGACTAAAAAAATAGTACTATAGAGGTTCTTACTTCTAACAAAGTCAAATTCAGACGAATTTGAAAATATGGGTGATCTGGGCTGTCCGGGTGACGCCGCGTCGAAGGGTGAGTTGCCGACGTTTCGACCATCCTGTCGTGGTCTTCCTCAGGGCTGGTATGATACCATACCAGATCACACACATGACTCTGGTCGCGGAAGCCTACGACTTCACGAATTTGAAAATAGTATGCTTAATTTCATTCACAAGACTGAAAATAATAGATCTTTTGACCTAAACCACAGATATGAATAATACAATTGTATGGTTTTTATTATTGTAGATTACATCAGTTTCATTTTGCTACTGTCTTTGTATAGGCGATTGGAACCAACTATCGGCAAAAGCACTGTACTAGGATTTATTTAACCGTGCACTTGAAGTAAATTATCTGTTCACGGTTTCATCCAATCGGGAGCTTGAAGTAGTGACGTCATTGTAGAGACACATAAGCTCTCGATTGGATGAAACCGCAAGAGCCGGTTTGTGTCATGTACACGACTAAACAAAACGTATAACAGAGGTTCTTCTAACGCAGTGAAAATCAGGCGAATTTAAAAATATGCTTCATTTATTCAATTTCATTCACAAGACTGAAAATAACATCCTCTTGACCTTAACCACTGACATGAATAATAACATTTTATAGTAATTATTGTTATCATAGATTATGTTATTTTAATTTTGTCACAGTGTTTGTATCATTGCGTACATTTTTGTATTTGTCTTCTTCTTCTTGCGAAAAATCCCAATTGGGACTTCACAAAGTACTCAGATATTTTTCTTAGCCTTTCGTTATGACCATAATTCTTTCATCATTTTGCTGTGCGCCTTTTTTCTATCTTTGGCCTAAACTTTTCATGCTCTACACTTTGGTACTTCTTTCAATCAATCCGCCATGACTGCACTTCAAAACTAAATGTGTTCCTATTTTGAATGTCTTCAGTGATCCCTGATAATTTAATATTTGTATTATTGTTATTGTAATTGTAATGTAATAATGGTTCGTAGTATTTTCTGTTTGGACAACAATTAAAAAATAATAATTAGAAAGAAAAATTGCTGTAGTGATGCTTTACAAGTCAGAAATGAATGTACAATTGTTTGCACCAAATTTTCGAGAGTAGTAAAGCAGATGTTATACAAAGTAATTCTTTTACACCATTGCTCTTAATTCTGAGTTTTATTTATTATTATGATAATTGTTATTGTTATTATTATTATTATTATTATTATTAGTCTCTCACAAATAGCAGCCTCCATTCACGGGTGGCCCCGCGCCTCCGTAGAAAAGATGACATATGCGAAAAAAGAATCGTATAGCATGTGCATCTGCAAAATAATTTTTAATCAAAGTTCTACTGCACAAAAAAATTTCGGATGTAAAAATTAAATTTATTGGACTTGAAGTGATAAAGACTAAACATGTATTTTTAGGTAAATTAAAAATGAATATTATATATTATCGGCGTATCATCATCTGCTCCCGTCATAAGAGTTACAAATTTCCATGACAACTTTGCCATCGCACGATTTGGTTGACGAGGTGACGGAGAGATGGCGCTGTGCTTCGAGCAATCGATCAGAGAAGTTGAGCGGAAGTAGTGAAGGCGATCGGAACGACGGCAGTTGGTCGTTGATTTTCGAAAACCGTGGACGTGTGACTTGCATCCGGAAACGTTCGTGTTGCAACTTGTGGCGTCGTTGGAGCATGAATACGGTGAGCATCGTCGTTTGTAAACGAACTGTAATCCGGGGAAGTATTAATTTCAAGATTGGGTTAAAGAAGGGTAGACGGTACACTTTCAGAGAACCGTGGCGTCTGGAGGGAGGGGTCTCCTTAAGCCCTCCCTCAAATTACGCTACACGCCACGCAATGAATAAAACTTGCGGTTAGGCGATTTTCATGGCACGACCTTCATATGCTTTGCCTCGTCTCTTTCTAATGTCAGTTTTCTTTCAAAGGCAAGTTTTCTCGCTTCGCTCGCCCGTATCCAAGTCACGGCGAGGCCTGGGCCTTCAGCCCTCGCGTTCACTACGAACGTCCTTGAGTCTACCCACCGCATAGTTACCAATTCACTTTTATAAGAAAGCCTCCAGAATTCAATCTGCGCAGCTACCGAAGGAGCGGCGCGAAGTACCGGTTTAAACCACTTCTGACAGTAGTACCGTATACTAAACTTCAGCCCACGATTAAGCAGTGTAATTTTGTGAAAAGTTCGTGATCCTTGTGCGTATTTTTGGGCGTTCGTAATTTACACGTTGTGACGAATGACTTATTGCTAAGTGCGTCATGCAATCCCGTAAAGGAAGAATAATTACTTTGTTAATCTTAACACTACATATGGGGAGCGAAATGCGAAGAATTTTGCTGACTGCGCATGTTATTTTATCAGTTATGGTGAGAATTGTAGACGTCGTAGTGCACGTGCTAACGTGAGCACAGTCAGAGTGGACGAACTGAAGAATATTGTGTTACGAAGTGAGGAACCCCAAATTGCAAGTAAATAAAAAAGTTTGGAATAAAGGTGTGTCCGGACATGTGGCCATCAGGACGGTAGAAAACACAAATACCGACCATACGATCACGGCCAAGGCAATTCGATGCGATACTCTAACGTAGGTGAATTTTTTTCAATAGGAACAAACAATGGTATAACAAGAAGGTGTAAAACGCAAACAATTATCTATACTCCCTTCTGCCGTACTTGAATTCAAAAGAATGTCAATACTCAGTTGTTAAGACATTTTTTGGGGTTTATATTGTATTAGGGTATAATTTGCTTATCAGTATTATAATTTTGGATATTTTAAAAGTAATTCGAAGTCACAGAAAGGTAACGAGAATTATCGAACTAGGAAACAGTAAATGCTATTAAAAAAGAGGGTTTTAAATTACAATAACTAGCATAGAAAGTTATCCAAGGTTAAAACATAAACATGATTTATTGATAGGGAAAGATTTCGCCGGTGTTGTATTCATTTACTTGTAACTAGAAATTTTG